TGAAGACTCGATAATGAAATCAAGGTCCACATGTGCTGCTTTTATACTTTACAAAAAATTAGAAATGTAACAGGCTACATATATTACAGGAGCTATATATGCTATAACTATTGCTAATAAAATATATAATATAACTAATACATGTATAAAATATATAATAAATATAATATGTAATATATATATGATAAATAATATAAGTGTCTCAAAAACTATAGGTAATAAATATATTACTTGTAACGCATCTCCTGCAGTAATCATTAGCTAATCAGATTACATAATTATTGTAAAAAGGCCGAAACTTTATTATCTCGGGATCTAGTGATTGAATTTTAATGATTCTTGGCTCATTAGATCCGCCTTAGTGAGCTGATTTCAATGGTATGTGTTTCATCCAAATTGGACCGGTGGATCAAAAGTTATTAAGGATTTTGTATTTTTTCTTAATATTTTATAGGTCAACAATACTAAGACACAAAAAGCTCTCAGCAAGTCAGATAGTATATATAAACAATATGGTACTGCTTCCAAAACTTGAGTATATTCTAGCAAATATCTCCTTAAGAAAAAATTCTGTGATATAATACATCAGCCTATGCTTAGACTCATTAAATAGAAATTGGAGCTACTATCTATATGTATAAATACAACCTTTCAGCATAAAGAGATCTTTGGAGTAGTAAGTCTATGGCAAAAACATATTGAGCATCATATATCTGAACTCTTTGTAAGAATAAATACTAATAGTATCATAGGTATAACTATTCTAATAAGGTTAAAGCAGTCTCAATTAGATATGAATATGCCAGAGTATATTCTTATTGCAGAAAATACGAATTAGAAAAAGATTAAGCACAGAAACCTAGAGGCCAAAATAATACAATATGCAAAAAGACTTGGTATTAGTATTGCAAAAAATAAGTTCACAGCAAGTTAGAACCTCTTTAGTTTACAAGAAGATAAAAACTGTCTGATCAGTAATATATTCGACAAATGTAACTTAAAAGAGGTACAAGAAGATATAAATAAGCTAAACTTATGGTACGTAAACTAGCTCCTAGATAATGAACAAGAGAGAATGGTCATTTAGAGACAGCTAAAAGCAAGAGAAGAATAGAGACATATAGAAAGGAAGACACAATAGTTTAAAGTATTAGAAAAGGAAATACTAGCAGATAAGATATCAAAAGAAGTAGCTAAAGTATATAGAAAAAAAAAAAGATTCTAAGTACAAGAAGTTGAATCGAAGATTTCACAAGACAAAAGAAAAAAAGAATGAATACTTATAAAAGGTGAAAAAACAAAGAAAATGAATTTGACTGTATTATTAAAAAAGAGAAGAAGCTTGTAAAAGTAGAAATTTGAGAAGAAGACTATGAAAATTCATAAGAAGTACTTAACTAGCAAGAAGCACTTGCACAGCAAGGAATCTATAAGGAAGGTCTTAAGCTAAAAAAAAGTAGTTAAAAACAAAGAATAGTATTAAAAGAGGTTCATAATATTTTAAGCTTTATACAGAAAAAAGATAACAGACTACAAGTAGTATTCGATAGAAAGTATTTGAAAAAAATAAGAAAAGAAAGCCAAAAAAGCAAAGTAGAAGAGTTTAAAAAGTTTAAGAATCTTGAGCATATCAAGATAGAAGGAAGCTGGGAAGCAGAACTAATTAACTAAGTTATCTAGAATATGAAGAATAGAAAAGAACTCAAAAATAGACTAGAGGTAAATAGAGAAGAGGAGGAAATAGTATTTTATACAGATAGCTCACTTGGTGGAATAGATACTTGGAACAGAATAAGAATAGAATATAGTATAGTTCAAATAGATAGTGCAAATAACATAGTCTTTAGTTACAAAAGAAGAATAGAAAACTAGTTCTCATCTATTCATGCAGAGCTAGTAGCTTGTCTAGTAGCAGTATTGTTAGTTCCTAGTAAGTGTAGAGTAGAAATAAGAACAGACAGTATATGTGCAATTCTCACAATTGAAAAATATCTCAAAAATGAGAAATCATGTAAGTAGTTAAAAACTAAAAACAGCAATATTTTGTATGCAATCAAGAAAGTCTGCAAGAGTAAATTAGTTCAACTAACATTTACAAAAGTCAAAAGTTATTCAGGAGATATATACAATGATATAGCAGACAGACTAGCAAAAGAAGAAATTCATAAAGCACAGAGTATAGAACTGAGCAATATTAGTAACAAGAGTTTGAAGTATATTTCTAAATAGAGAGACCTAAGTGTAAAAACTCCTTTAAGAGCCTTCATTAAAAAAGTAGTTCAAACAATGTACAAAGCAGAATGGATATGGTTAAGAAAGAAAAATAACAAAGAATACTAAGCAAAAATTCAAAAGCAAAACTAGAAAGCATTTAAAGGCATTCTTGAAAGCTATCATATGCAATATCAAAATTCAGAAGTAAACTATTTGCACCTATTCAAAATCAAATATATTGAAAACCTCTTTCCAATAGTTGAAGTCTTAAACTATAAAAAACTATAGCTATATAAAAATAGCTCATGCAAAAGATGTGCTAAGGAAAAAGAAACAATTAAACATATAATTACATATGAAAAAACATATCTAGTATATAAAAAAATTAAAGAACAGGCATAGAAATAGCTCGACGAAGACAAAAGGAAAGAAGAAAATTAGAATTTAACAAGTATACAACAGGCTATCTAATATGAACAGAAAGAAAAGCATTAGAAAAAGAAAGAATGTATGAGAGGCAGACTTAGTAAAGATGATGCAGAAAAAATCAAAAATATCATAAGTTCAAAAAGAATGATGATCAAATTTTGAAATCTTTTTTGGCATATTTGAATATAACTTGTATATGAAGAAATTTGAAGAACCTGATACAAGGATATGAAGGTATAGAAGAAAAAGGAAAAGATCTTGAAAAAAGAAAAATACTTATGAAAAGAAAAAGAAAAGAACAATCAAAAGAAAGCATCTACAAAGGAAAAAACAATTAAAAGAATAGATGAGAATATAGAAGTTAGTAATGTTAGTCTTAAAATAGCATTAGATAGTATAGCTAAGGAAGTAAAGGAGAGAATAATAGATAGTTAGAGTTAAAAACAGTTATGATGAGCTGTAGCATCCTTCCTATTTTGACTTGTAGTTTATAAATTATAAACTGTTTCAAGATAGAACAAAGGTCACTATAGCAGATCACATATAGATATCTATAGAATAATCAAATGAGTCATAGCTTAAAAAATTAGTCATTAAATAGTATATTACTAAATAATGTTGTTTTTATTTGAAAAACAATTCTAAATAAAGTTATAGCATAACTGCTAAAGTATAAAAAAAAAATTAGATAAATCAGAACTTAAAAAATTAAATGTTAAGAGGTATCTAATTGAATAATATTGTTTTATAATATTTACAAAATAAATCTAAATAAAGTTTTAGTATAACTACTAAATTTTAAAAAAAATTTTAAGAATAAATTAAATTTGTTACTTAGAGAAGAAACAGAAATCAAGTGATTTTAATTTACTATAAAGCTTTTTTTTCTATTTTCTATCTAACTATATATTATAGTATATTCTATAATTAATATAATATTTGATCTGACTAAATTGCTAACCCTATCTTCCTAAGAAATTAGCTAATTTCTATCTCTTTTCTTATTATAAAATTAAATAAATTATTATTTTTTTCCGCAATTATGCTAATATTTCATTTAATCAAAGTTTAATCTATAATTAAACTATTTCTATCTAGTATATATATTATTTAGTAATTACTTTTAATTCATAATCTACCTTCAAATTAGTAAAAATTATTAGTATTATATAAGTAAAATTTTGTAGATCATTAAAGAAAAATCTAGCAGATAGCAGTTTTTAGGCATAATATAATACCACCAAAAAAAAGCTTGTTTGTATCAAATATATAACATACTGTATTATAAAAAACTTTAAGAATATGCTATTTAGTCCTTTTGTTTTGTTAATAAAAAAAAAAAAAAAACTATTTGCTAACAACACTAGATTCTAGGATAAAAACTAATTTGCGATTTCACTATTTCATGCATTTTTATTATGATATTAGCATTAAAGATATTATAATCTACTTTTTTAATCTTATTTTCCAATCAAAAACTAATCTTTAAAAAAAGAAATAAAATCAAAAGACAGGTTATAATATCTCTAAAGTATATAAATTCCTTTTTTATAAGCAAGAATATGTAAAACGTTATTACTAAAGAATCTTGTATTACTATTTATACTATGTTAGAATTTTAAATTATACTTGTTTGAACTGTATGTTTATAATGTTGATGAGTATAATGGCCTATTCAACTTTGAATAGTAAACAATTTTAGAACAGTTTCAGCCTCAATATCACTCTTAAGCACCTTTTGTTGAAGAGCTTGATACATGTTTTGTGTAGTATAATGATCACTTTTGTCTGCATTACTAGTTAGAAAATATCTTTCTAAAATTTTTCTTATCTTTTTTGTAATTCTTTTTCCAGCTCTCTTTTTTCTGTATTTTTGCTTCTCTTTTAATATCCATCCTAATAGTAATGAAAAATTTACAGTATTCAACCTAGATATTATCTAAGTAAATATATATCAAAGTGTTGAATTGAATTATATTTCATATCTATCATTACTCATATTGGTTTTTTCAACAAAATGTTAGAGATTATATCATGACCTAGTATTGTAAAATATTATGTAGTAAGTGCACAATTAGTAACAAAATATTATAACTAGTTGCTTACATAGCTTAGCATTTTTAATATCAGTTTCTATCTGAATCTTCAAATTTGATATTAGTGTACTTCTGTTTTTTTTTTTGTTTGCTTCTATCCCTTTCAAGTTTAATTCTTTTATCAAATTTTTTTTGTTAAGACATGTAGGATTAAGGTCTAATACTTTAAAATCAGTTATTATTAGAATAAATAAAATTTTAGTACTTTCAATAAATAAAAACTTGTATATAGTATTTGAAATAGATATTTCTTAGTCAGAACAAGATATAGTATGAATAGAAATCTCAGGATTGAGTTCATAAATATTCTTCTTGCATAATTTTTCTAAGTCTGCAAGTGAAAATACTTTCTAATTTCTAATATTTGGGATAGCACGTATCAAAATATTTCTAGCAAACTTTTCTGTAGTAGGCCATTACCACTCGAACCAATTTGAATTACTAGATAAGAAATTTTTCTTACTACCTAACTGACATACTATATATTAGCATTAATATAGATATCTTTACAAATAAGAATAATATCAATTTTATTTATTACTTATAAAATATTATATCTTAAAAGGTACTCTAATTTGTATAAATATGGGGGTGAGTCAATAGAAATCAAGCAAATTGTTTTTATTGAAATTTTTTTGAAACTTTAAACAATAATAACTCAACAAAAGCTTTATCAAATTTAATAAAATTTTTTTTAAATGAATTCTATAATTTGTAATATTTATTTTAAAAAAATTTTTATTAATTTTGATAAAGTTTTTGTTAAGTTATTGTTGGTTAAAGTTTTAAAAAAATTTACTTAAAAAAAATTTGCTTGATTTCTATTGACTCAACCTCATATATTATTGTAAATTTACTTTTAAAAACTAATCTCTATTTTGATTTGGTTTTAAATTTGCTACAGATATATTGCGAATATTTTGAATAGCATTTTCTATATTCTGGCCTTTAGAAATATCAAATTCCAAACATATATAGCAATTAATTGCATAAGATATCTAAATAAATCAGTTTGGTTAAAAATATTTTAAAAAATATTAATTAAATGAAGGGAATACTTTTATTACCTGAGTATAGTGTAAATCAATCGTAGTTATAGTCTCTTCAGCCTCCAAAAATACTTATTTTTCTACTTGAATTCCATACTATTTTGGCTAATAACCTATAATTATCATAAGATTTGCATTATGGTGTTTTTCTTTCTTTTGAGCATAGTAATATTTTATCTATTAAGTGTTCATTTTAGAAATGACTCTCAATGTCTACTTCTTGTACTTTGCTTTCTTGTATATCTGTATTATAAGTAGTAGAGTAGCTTTGCAATTCTTCTAAAGCAATATTTATTATACGTCTATCTGGTTTATACTTAATCTAGTTAGTTATATCTTTGAGTGTATTGAGTTTATATCTTTTGTTTTTTGAGCTTGTTGAGGTATTCTTCTCATTTTCTATTGAGAATTTCTTTTCTAATAACTTTTTAACTATTCTCCACTTTTGAACCTCTGCTATTTTTTTTATTTTATTCATTATTTTTCCTATTCTCTATGATTCTTCTATGTTTTTGTTTGGAGTTACCTATTCTCTTTTTGACTTTTTTTCTGATACTTTGTTCAAATTTAGTCTTAGTACAGCTATATTATTGCCTCTTCTAAGAATAAATTTTGGCTTTAAAGTTCTCAGATTCTTGTTGTCTAGTAATATTTCTTCTAAGTTTTTGAACCAGAAACTCTTTCTCTCTTTTGTACTAAGTTCTTTAATTTTTTTAAGTTGATACTATGAGAGCATTGTAGTACTATTTTAGTTAAGCAATTGATCTAAATATAGGATGTCTAGTTTACACAAGCCTTGTATCATTTTCTTGCTTAAATTTTTTCCTAATATATCTTGTAAACTTCTTGTTATAGGGATTTGAGTCTCTTGTAGTGACTTAGTATTTTTAGAAATATTGATGTCTAGGTTCCTTGCAATTATCAGAATGCTTGTACTAAGGTTATGTTTAAAGTTCTAGTTTTTGATACTTTCTGTATCAAGTTTTCAGATTGGTTTTGTACTCAACATATCGATTTGTGCTTAGTTAAGTCTTGCAATTATTGTTTATGTAATAATCCCTTCTTCATTTAAGTAAACTAACCACTCTGAGATGCAGTGTTCTGTATATCACTTCCAAAGTGATTTAATTCCTATTATGTTTTCATACCTCATAAGACAATTAGCAGCTGAGAATTGGAGTTAGAACTTCTTTTTGACTAGTTGATAAACTTTTTGAAAAAGTTTATCACAAATATTTTTTTTAAGCGAAGTAATCATGAGTTTATATTCAAGTTTGGAGATAAGTACTTTGTTTATTACATATCTGATTTGTCTTGTTGAGATTCATTTGTAATTTATCATACTTATGAAACTATGAATATCTTTTTTAACTCTATTTTTGGTACTTTTATCTTGATTTTTTGCACCAATCCAAACTTCTAGAAAGCATGCTATTTCTTTTCCTTCCTTTATTGGGACTTCTGTTTTTTCTGACCAAAGTAGGATTTTTCTATTATCAGATCCTTTTTTTTGATTAATTGCAATTAACTCTGACTTCTTAAGATTAATGCCTATATCATTTAGATCATAAAACTCCTGAGCTCTTTTAATTATCTTTTGTAGGTTTTGTTATGAGTTTGCAATCTATATAGTATCATCTGCGAAAGCAAAATCTAGAATTTTAATCTTTTCTACATTACTGCTTTTTAAAGGGTTTAGTACTTCCATTTCATATCTCAGATTAGAGTTTTGAATTTTGCAAAGGAGAGAATCATAGAATATTCTCCATATCAAAGGAGAGATTACTTCTCTTTGGTCTATTCTGTCTTAGGCTTGAAAGCCTTCTGTGAGACCTATTTTGGTGATAATTCTGACCTCCCTTTTGTCATAAATTTCTATTAAAAATTTCTCAAGTTTGTTTTTTATTTGGATTCTGTTTAATGCTCTTCGTAATCCTATTATACTAACAGAGTCAAAAGCTTTTTTAATATCTTGTAGTAGAATTCATATCTCTTTTTTGTTCTGTTTAGTATCTTCTATTAGATTGTGTAGGAGGTAGATCAGAATTGAGGTACTTTCACCTTCTAGACTAGCAAAATTTAATCCTTTAAACACTTTTTTTTCTAATAGAACTTTGCTAAGCCTTTTTTGAATAATTCTGACTAAACTCTTTTAGAAGGTCTCTAATAATATTATTGGTCTTGTACTTGAGAGAGAATAGTTTTATTCTGCTATTTTTGGAATTAGAAAAATTTGACCAATTTTCTATTTTTTTGAAAATATATCTATTTTTAGAATTAAGTTTGCTAGTTCTAGATACTTTGATCTAGCTTTTGGATCTGAGTTTTGGAATATTGTATAACTTATCTCTAAGGCACCAGGTGTTGTATCTTTTTTGGCTAGATGAATATTTTCTATTCACTCATCTTCTTCTATTGGGTTTAGAACATTACTATACCATTCTTCTTTGATATTTTCCTTAGTACTATATTCTTCTTCCCATTCCTCTGAAATATAATCAAATTAGTGTTTTCATACTTTGAACTAATCCTTGTAATATTCATCTGCAGCTTTTTTAACTTCTTCTGACTCTATGAGGAGTATCTGAGTATTTTTGTTTTCTGTGTCTTAAACTATTACTCTATCTATTAATAGTCATTTCCAAGGTTTTTCTAAAATGCTATTTAGCATTCTTCTTTCTTCTTTATCAATCATTTCAAATCTCACTTTTACCTTCTCTATAATTTCTTTTTGAGCTTCTTGTTGTATATTGCTTATGATTTTCCTTTAAATTATTTTTTTCTAAGAGGATATTTCAAGAAACTATGCTTCTGTTCATACTTCTTCTACTATAGGTATTTGAGTTTTATGTCTTGAATTTATAAGTTCTATTTGTAAATTTATTAGGAGATGATCAATATGATCTATTTGAGCATCTTCTTTCCCTTTTCTTTTTCTTAAAAGTCTATTAAGGTTTCATAGATCTAGGTAGAGTAGATTTAGTTCAATATTCTTGTTAAATTCTTTTTTTGTCTATTTGATTTTCTTTGAGGAAATATTCTTATTCGCTGACTTTAGAATAGCTTTCAGAATATTTTTCCATAGATCGTTAATTAATCTTTCTTCTTTCTTTTGCTCTTCTTCTTGAGGAGAGGATTGTTTATTCTGGTATTCTATTCGTAGGCTTTAGCAAGATTTTTCAAGATCTATTGTAAAGTTCTTCTAATTTTCCTTCATTGTATCTTTATAAAGGAATATCTTTCTTTCTATACTTTGTCACTCTGCTGTATAGCCAATTTCTATTCTTATAATTTGGTCTAGTTTAATTTGTGCCTATATAAAATTGTGATCACTTTCTGTAACTAATTTTATCTCCTCAATATTACTTTTTTGTAGTCCTAGTCTAAGATCTTTAGAAATCTAGACTTGGTCAATTCTTGTTTGAGTTTTAGAGTTTTTCTAAGTAAACTTTCTTCCTTGAGGGTTATAGCACTTGTATATTTCTGTAAAACCTGTTTTGCTTAGCCAAGAAGTAAGTAGTAATTTTCATGTTTTGTTCTGAGTTGGTATTCCTGCTCAGTCTGTATTTAGATCTAGTATATGATTAAAGTCTCTACCCAAAATAAAATACTCATTCTTCTTTTTTTTGACTATATCTTTAGTAACTACTCATTGAATTTCTTTTTGTTTACACTTATCATTAGATAGGATATAGATTATCTAAATTAAAAGAATTGCTTTCTTGAACCTTAAAGAAGCTTTAATACAATAAGGATTTGGTCTTTTAATTTCTGTTAAGTGTTGAGTTCAAGAATTTTCTATTCAGATTCCTACTCCTGATCTTTTGTGTTTTTCTTTTTTAGAGTTTAACCAGAAAGTAGTGTAGTTTTTTCTATTTATTTTGATAAAACAGTCTTCTTTTTCTTGGATATTAGTTTCTGTGATCTCTATGATATCTAGTTTAGTACTTATTCCATGTTCAATTAATTCTTGTGCTTTGTACGAATTTCCTTTTATACTATTAATATTGTAAAATCCTATCTTAATTTGTGAAAAAGTTAAATTGTTATAAATTGTTTTTGAAGATATCAGATTTTGTTTGTCTATATTTATATTTCTCAGATTGCTACTCTGTTTAGTAGCTATTTCTTATATGTCAAATAAGATGCTCTTAGGATCTATTTAGGGTATTTCTGCTTTTGAATACTTTACTCTTGATCTCTTTTTCTTATCCTATTCTTTGTATTTGCATACTTAATTTTAGGATCTTTTCTTGAATAAGAGAAAAGTTTATTTCCAAAGTATTGTCAGAGTAAGACTTCTGTTCTTTTTTCTGATATTTTTTCTTCTTACTAGTTGTTGTTTTTTCTCTAATTATATCCTTTGCATCTACTACTCTACTCACTGTTTCTGTTATTTTTTTTGGAAGATGAACCTTCTTCTTGCTAGTTTATATTAGAGTTTTCATCTTTTTTTTAGAAGAGCTTTGTATTGTAGTAATAAATATTTTTCTTTATTGTATAGTTCATTTCTTTTTGAGATTCAAAGAAAACTTTAGCAATATGACTTAGATTTCTGTTTGAGTTATATAGTATAAAGACTGCTTTAGCTCCTATTTGTCATAAAGAATGCAGGAGTAAAGTTTCTTGTGCTGTACTTGGAATATTTGTTAGAATTGCTCTATATCTTTCTCTTTCTTTTAAAGCTTTAGAGTTAGCTATCCTTATAGATATACACATTAACTTTCTATTTTCTAATTCTAGTATCTAGTTTGCTTTGAGTTTTTTTAATTGTTCTTCTCCTCATATGTAGATTTTGATTTCTACAGACTGATAAAACCTTAGTTTCTTTAGGTTTATTTCTTCTGCATATCTAAAATATTTAACAAGCCTAGAAATTTCTTGTTTGCTATAGTCTAGAGGAAGATCCCATAATGTAATCTAAGTAAAATCTCTATTTTTACCTTTAAGTTCTAGTTTTTTTCTATTCCCAAGATCTATGCTTTTTGTCATTATAATATTTGAGTTTGTCTTCTCAAATATTACTTTATATTATTCTATTTCTTTCTTTTTTAATTTTTCTTTCATAATTTGTTTTTCCTTCATATAGTCAAAG